ATGGTCATACTATGGTCTTTGTAAAATGAATGAAATGTACAGCTACTACTAAGAACATTGTCAATGTGAAGCCAAAAAGAGAAGTGATAACTAACATTATAGCTCCTCATGACTGAGTTTGAAGTAGTCACGTTCACCAAACAAACAAAAAAGATTTGACACTGTCAGACTTGCCAATGAAAAAAATAATTTCTTCTTATGATCAGTACTACACACACATATTCTTAAAAACAATGTATTCCACATATCGGTCACATAATTTAAAAATGTGCTTTTTATTTATATAAGAATATTGTCAAAATACTACAAAATGTAGAGGGTAATCTTTTGTACTATAGTACTGCAGCTACCTGACCAGAATAACAAGACAATAACAAACAAACAAAATAGGCCCAAAGAAACTTACTTTAGAGTTTGTTTCCAACAACATTAAACTAATGAGATGGCTACAGGCTAAAGGAATAGCTCATTCGGCTGGCTTGAGACTGCTCTGTAGATCAGAAACTAAATTTGATCAGCAAACATATCAACTGAGAAATGAATGAGATGTACACAGAGTGAATCAAAATGCCAAGGATATAGAGAATCAACATAAGCCTACGAGCAAAAGCCCCATACTAACAACAGTTATTAGTTTGTGGCACTCCTTAGATGAATATATAACTGGCCGTTCTTTTAGTTCAACTGTGGAGCCTGCATTTGTGTTTGTTAAAGACTGGTAAAGAAATACAAATTCCAGCACTGCTGCGATTAAATATCAGGGGAGGATGGATTAAAAATGTCATATTAAAGGGATTAAACCATGCAGAGAAATCCATATGTTTCAGTGGGCTATCTGTGGGAAGATACTTTCTGAGTAATATTATGTGTTCAGATAAAAACTCAAGCTTTGGCACATTTTAAACCCTATAAAATCCTCCCTGACTAACACTGAATAGCAGGCTGTAACTTTAATGTGCAAACATTTAACCCAGCATAGATCTTTCACAAGGACTTATGTTTTTCAAAAGCACAATCAGTTTGGGGCTCATTGTTTGAATCAATCACTGTGTAAGCCAAATAACAATACTCTCTCTTTAACATGACACTTATTAGCCAAGTGCCATTTCAACACAAGGGAAGTACAAGCATTAATGCAGCTTAAACGGTAGTGACAAATAATAAACAGGGTGACTGTACATAGATAGTGTCGGTGTATAGATTCTTCTAATCAAAGAATTAATTTAGGCCAGTGTTTACATTCAGTCAGACACTTCCAAGTCTCTGTCTTTATGTCTCTAATGAATATAAAATTCCACATCATGGTGAAATCTTGGTTTATCACTGTAGATCTGTCTTGTTAACCTAACTTAAGTTTTCTTAGCTGCTACTATGTTTGCTAGAAAGCTGGATTGGAAGTATTGTTTATTTTTTACAAATCCAATTAGCAACATAAGTGATAACTTAATTGAAAGTCCATTTATTATTACCTACTAAATTGAGTGGTATTGATTTTCTAAGACACTAGTTCTAAAACTATAGTACATGTACTGCCTCTATTGGTATGTGGAAGAGTCTCTGAAATCTATATTCTTTTAATTAAATAAATAAATTCAACAGCTAATACTATCAAAATACCTTGATTATATACTTTCGAATGATAATACTTAAACTATGAGATCGCTGAAATGTAATTTAGGTTTTTCATTTTATGTAATATTTTGTTTGAAAATCAGCCTGCTACTTCATCATGTTCATGCACATAGCGAATGCATCCATGATCAGTCACAAGCTAAGATGTGATGGTAAGATAGTAAGCAGAGGTAAAAATGAATGGTTCAAATACAATTAAATCCCCCTTTCCACCAAATTAGCTCTGGCTCTTCAACTGGTTTGATTTAGGATTCAACAACAGTCAGTAATAAATCATTTTATGAATAAACCTCCCTCAAATAGAGTCGGCCTACGTTACTGTATTTATCATAAAGGTGGTACTTGGAGAGCCTCATATTTTCTAAGGTGGTGCGGGATGTAGAAACTTTGAGCATAACTGGTCTAAGGAAATCTTGTTGTGGATCACAGTGTCACTTGGAAGAAGAAGCACGGCATAAAAAGTGAAACTGGACTTTCTGCTGACGTGTACAAGTCCTGTTCATCAGCAGGAGACAGAAATAGTGGATATTAACAACATGGATTTAATGTGTCTAGTGACTATACGTCCATGTAAACGGCACAAAAATACATAAAAATTAATTAATCGTCCGGCAGGAGATTACAAAGTATAGCTCTAAATTAACTATAGTCCACTGTTCCATGTGGTTAGCTTTACATCAGGATGGACAACGTGACCAGATGGTACATTTCAACTCTCAGCATTTGTCTCACATGCACCCACACATATGCACACCTGCGCATTCACACACACAGCACCATCATGTATGTTCAGCTGATATTCAACAGTGCTAAGAATAGCTTTGCTAAAGTAACATGCCTGTTAATTCCAGCTTTTTAGAGGCATTATTGTGCATTGGCCACTGAAACAGGAACATGTTTTTATTCAAATCTGCACAGATTTTAATATTAAACTTCTAGTTTTTTTGACCAATGGCTACTGATTTGTTATATTCTTATTTAACTGTTGTTCAGAGGTATCTTTGTATATTTCTGCCCTTTCAATTGTCAGTCTGGTTGAATCACTGTACAGCATTTGTTCTCGATGTAAAAGATGTGACTTCATACAAAATAACATCTATTTGTATAGAGGACTTTCTACAACCTACAAGCATTTGACGACCATTCAAAAATATAGAGGAGTCCTCTCAGACATCTGACTGTATCGAATCAAGCTTTTATGGCAGGTGACCCCAAACTTTTGAGCAGTATTGTATATAAAATCTTTACTTGATCATTAAACCATTGAAGAATTAAATCATTGAAGTAAACTACATGAAGGAGGTTATTTATAATGGATAAATAAGCTGAAACAATACACTTGTTGTGTCCCATTTTACATTAAGGGAAATGAATACTCCATTTACGGTTTATTTTATTATTAGAGTCAAATGTGGAGGGGTATCAGTTTCAGACACACATACACGCAGACTTCTGAACATGTCTAGCTATTGGACTGCGTCCCCACTTGGGCCACAGTGTTTATAAAGAGAGAGTCTCCAAACAGTGGAGATCAATAACGGCCTGTCAGCTTTTTAGTGTAGCCATGGACAGAGCAGAGACACAGGGACCACGGAGAGAGAGCTGCATCCGTCCATCAGACTCTTTGTGACCCCCAACAGCTTTGATCGAAGATGACAGAAAAAGAGAGAGAGAGCAAGTGAGGACAGGAGACAGCTAAGAGGAAGATAGAAAGACAGGCTCCTGTGGTATTGGCCAGCTCTTGAGGCCCCTGTATCTTTTCTGGGCCATAATTAAAGCAGAGCCCAGACTCTGGGTATTTGCCTTTTAAAACGTTGCTGGTCTCTATTGCCTGCCTTACAAAGGACTGTCAAAGGCAAGACAAAGCAGAAAGGTAAATCCCTGAACAAAGCTAACAGAGAGGCATCCGGGGAAGGATCTGTATTATATCTGCTGCATATACGCACACACATTCCCACATATACAGTAGCTTTAAACAATTGTGCACTCACGTGCAGGGCAATGCACCTAATGGCTCTGGCAGCCATTGAATGATGACAATGGCCACGGTGGGAGTTGGCAAGACTTTGTCGGGATGTATGTAATTATTCAGCCACACAAAAGGAGGGGCCGACGCGGTGCCAGAGCAGATTTACTGTGTCTGTGGTCAGTGCATTCAGCAGGGTATCTAATGATGTGCACTTACGGGCTAAATTACCAGAGCATTGTTTACCTCTGCTCTTAGAGTGCAGGCCCCACCGAGAGCAAGAGTCTGAGAAGGTGCCGGAGAGAAAGAAAAAAAAAAAGCTCAGATGGATCTGCTGGAGTTCAAATTAAAGCAAATGATCTGATAGTGAGGAGGAGTGTTGAGAGAAGATGAATGGTATCCATGGAAGCAGAGGCAGGGGAGAGGCTGAAATGTCTAACTCTTTTTTGGTAAAGGCCCCTCTCTTCACACACTGCTGACAGCCAGCTAGCCAGCAAATCCCTGGACGAGGGGGTGGAAACACAAAAAAGTACTGCTCTTGACTATACCACTCAGACATCTCCAAGCTGCAGTTTTCTGTATCAGGTCTTAAAACAATATGCATATATATAGTCAAATTAGGAATACATACACATACACCATACTTGCGCTATCCGTGTCCCTTGAGGCCTCATTAAAAGTTTTGGATCAAATATCATGGTCATTATATGGCCTGGTGATCATTTATACCTAAGCTTAACCTATATTAAGCAAAAATGTGCAGCTGTGAGTAGGCTTTAATTTTTTTAATCTATAATATTAACTCTTATTAATGGTCCTTTTTTTGTCTGTTTGCTTGTTAAGAAAGGCACCACCTCTAACCATCACTTCTGACAGCAGCACCCATCTGAGCCACTGTCAGAGGTCATTTACATAATGAAAGAAGAAAATTACCAAGGAGGCAAAGTCAGGACAAGCCTGCCATTTGGCAGAGAGAAAATGAAGATGGAAGGAAAATGGTTTGGCAAGAAGGGGGCATTGGATAGAGAGTGCAGAGAGTGCAGAGAGAGCAGCAGAACTGGAGTGAGGGATAAGGGCAAGAGGCAGCAGAGAGAGAGTGAGAGAGAGAGAGATAGAGCGAGAGACGCTGAAACAGTTGAACCATGAAGACAGGCATGCCAGTGAGTTGGACAGTGCAGAAACATTTGGAGTAAGTGAGAGAGAGGAAAGCTGGAAAGCCTCAAAAGCATGGAGCAAGTTGGAGATTATGTCCAGCTGGGGAGTCTTCACAGATTAAAAAGTTGACAAAGGGGTAGACAAAGACTGGAAAGAAACTTGACAGAGAAGGAGAAACATGGAGAGGTTTCCAAGACGAGTCACAGGGAAGCAGGTGTTGTGGCATCCATTTGGATGAGGCTCTTACCTTGGCCGACGCTGGAGCCACTGATCCTGCTGCCGTGATGCCTCGCTTGACCGCTATGTCGCTGCTCGATGTTGTCACGGCAACTGTGACAGGGGTGGGGAGGAGGGAGGGGATGACTGGGAGGGGAAGGAGCCCCGGACGGTTGTTGCCATTGACAACGGCAGAGGCACAGCTATGATTGGCTCCTCCATTGTGGAGGCCAGAAGGACGGATGTCTCTCCGCTCCCAGGGTCCCCGGTAGTCCCTCTCAAAGCGGTGGTGGTGGCGTGACATCACTTCCTCTTCCTCTCAGAGGGAACAACGGGGGCAGGCCTGCAGGAAATGGAAAGGTCAGGTTGAAACTCTTTTATTATATGTATGCAAATGTAGGTAAGAGATACAGACATAAAGGCAGGGTTTCAGAGATAGAAAAAGGCTGGGGGACAAAGAAAGAGTGAGACACCATCATGTTGGCTGGAAGGTGTAAATGCTCGCAGCATCTGCTCCCAATGCACCTGACTGACACGAACACACTGCGGCTCATTTGTTGCTTCTGATTCCTATTCTCCCAGTCATTAACGAGGGCTGCGACAAGAGGGAGAGAAATGAGCACCGCTAAGCAGGTCTATAAAAAACACCATCAGTGCCAACACCATAAGGAGCTAAATTTGTCACATGAGGCACCTAGGCTCAACAGTGAGAGGTTAAAACAGTGCAGATGAGCGAGGCGCAAACAGGTACGCACTCAGATTTTCCTGAGGACAGCACAGCAGTATCATGACCTTGCGGTCAAAACTTATTCATCTGAATAGATAAATACCCCTGCAATTACAGCTCATCTCATACATCTAATGGCTGGTTAATTCAATCAGATTGCCCTTGAAGTGCATTTGAGGGTTCTCCCCTTTTCAAGCACAGCAGGCTGTGATAGGCTAAGAGGCGACAGTGAGCTGGAATTACATCAGTATGGGGTATGGTGCTATTGTGTAGCATGAGCAGCGTATCACTCTATATTATATCATAAATCAAAGCGGTACAGGATCTGAGTAGAGAAATCCATCACTGAGGGGATTGTAGCGCATTGTACTCCTCCTCACCAAAGGCACGTTATGCTTCCCAAGCCCTTGATAACAGATGAAATAAATAAATAACAACCTCAAACCAGGTTCAGCAAGCCCCATGCAAAATCCCCCGGTCTGTAAGGAGAGAATGACAGCGGATGATAGGTCTTTATTCTGCACGCTGGGGTCTGTCACGCTGTCTCTTGCCTCACAGAGGAGCGAATGCCTTGAAACGCCGGCTTCTCTGTGTGTATCTGTGTGTGTGTGTGTGTGTGTGAGTGCACAAAAAGCAATATATACTACAGTGAACTGCTATGTTTGCACATACTCTTTTGGTAGGATTTAATGAGAACACACATGTTCAGAACCCAAGTGTAGTATGTGAGAGTCTTTGAGCAGGCTGTTAGAAATGAAAAGGATCTTCACAAAGCTTTGATGCAAGCGATACACAATGCAGCCTGTGGTGGGAGCACTGGCCCTTCTGTTTCTTTAGCTGCTGTGACCATCCATTTATTTACCCGGTAAAACACTCACTCTTTCTTCCTTTATGTCTTTCTTTGTTGTGCTCTTTTTCATTCTTTTCCTCATTCATTTTACCCTCTCTCTGAGTCCCCCCTTCATTTATTTTTCTCTTATACAAGGTCTGCTCTGTCCAAATACAGCAAGTTGATATGCGGTGATAGAGCCAGACGGAGCGACTAAAAGCTGTAGGACAACACACTCACGCTCTCTTTCTCTTTCTCACTCACTCTGCAATAACCTTTCTCCCTCTCAGCAGTAACCCTTTTTAATAACCTCAAATTTTACAATAGAATAAGCTTGTATTATCTCTAAAAATATTTGAGACAGAGAGAGTAACAAGGTGCTAGTTCGGTGGAACAATGGCAGAGTCAGTGCCAGGTAATATTCTCTTATCACTCGAGCTCCACACCCCAGCTGAGAAATAAGAGGGCAGAAAATTCCTCCATTTAAAATAGGAGGAGAAAAAGAAATAAGAAAGGGACTTTATCTCCTCAAGAGTCAGAATTGGGGGCAGAGTGCATTTGCATTCACAATTTATTTTATCAATTCTTTTCAGATGTGAAGTGGGTACATGCCACTGTGCATCCACTATGCTCCCTAGTCCAGACAATTTTGTGAATTACTGCAAAAACTGTCTATTTCTTTGTCTTCCTGTACACCTCAAAGAACAAGGGCACAACGGAGTTTGCAAGAGCCCACACAATAAAGCTTTGTTGGATAACCTTCAGTGAGGCTGTAATTTACAGAACAGGGAGAAAGAATTAAAAGTAAGTAAAGTACATGGTATTTCCATTAGAATTGTTAAAAAAAAATAAGGTCAGACTGTGGTGGCTTATTGGTCTAGGGTATGTGCCATGTAGGAAAAAGTATTGGGTTATAATCAAGCAATAAAAATAGGTCCATATTGAAAATTGCATTACCCATATTCTCATATATAGATGCTAGAATAGGTAGTTGTAGGCATTTTCTGATCTGTTAGCCCTACAGTTGAGGTATGGTTAAGGACAGGCAACTAAAACTAATTGTTATGGTCTGGGAAAGGTCAGGGTCATAGTTAAAAGTAAGTTAATAGTGACTGTGCTTGAGATGAGATGTTAAGCCCCAGAGTCCAGTGTCAAAGCCAGATATTTTGTATACTTGATACTGTAATAATTTAACAATAGGTAGGCTTGGTTAAAATACTTATTATATGCAATTTTATTTCATGTTGATATATATCGTAATATAGTTAGTAATTGAGATACACATTTTTTAAACTCAAGGATTAATGGGGTAATCATGACAACATTTCACACAGATGTTTGAAGGGATACAACTATGAAGTTATGATATTTTTTATCTTAAAGGTCAAAGGTTAACTTTACTCAGAAACAGAATGGGAAACGGTGACCTGTTTAGCTAATACAATCATCATACAAATCATACATATGTACCATCAGTGTTGTGATGAGTTCCACTTAGTATAAATTACTCTTATCACCGGTCATAATATTATGTTCAAAGTCTTCCCCTATATATATTAAATGAGTCAGGACAGACATGGATATAAACTGCAACTTGACTGGCTGGTGGAGGCATCTAATTTCTACTCTGTTTCTACACTATGTTCAGACGTTTTTTTCCAAACAGAAAATTGATTTAGAATCAACAAGGGAATCAATAAAGAATTGGACCGATAAGCAGAATCGACAATGGCATTGGTAACAATAAAATCCCATCTCTTCTTGGTTATGGATCGTTTGAGATGTAACTTTTGGATAAGAATGACCTGCCTTGATGCTGTGATTTAAATCTTTAAATAAACCCTCATGCAATGTTTTCCCTGCCTCTTGGACTGGTCAGAGTTGGATTTAATTAAATGAAAACACAAGTCAAAACTAAGGTGTTTTGCAGAGTTGGTGAATGTTGAAATCGGGATATGGTAAAACAGCTACTAAAAAATATGTAAGTAATGCAGTTCTGCTCTTTCACTCACAATACTACCCACAACAATTTACTACAAAACCTCAAAACAATTGCTGCCTTGGTACAAAAAGTATGCATTGCAGAATTATCACCTCATGTTGTACAACATTTCATTTCCAAACCGGATGTCATGATACATCCTGCATCTTCCTTTGATACTGAGAGTAAATGTGGATTGTTTTAAGTAATTTATACAAATGACAAATGTTGTTCTTCTGAAAAGGAGCCTCTTACATAATCATGCTTCAAATTCCACCACTCACTTACCCAAGCGGCATTTTCAGAATCTTGGCACTGCATTTCAATATGTGCACAATCCTGTAAGTTAATTCCTGTCATCCTTGCACTATGCATGTCAGTATGTGCTGTGTAACCGGAGGCTGGCAACTGATCCCTGCAGAACGAGTGTCACTGAGACATTACATTTATGGTCCTCAGTGAACAGAAGGATTTAAGCTACCAATTAAAGACACTTCAATTCCCTTCACAACTACATTTCTGCTATTCCTTTATCACCTGTATGTGCGCGCGAATGTGTGTCAGTGTATGAGAGCACGTCATCCTGGGGCTGATATTGTGTGCTGTGTGTTTGCAAGGGTAGGTATGGTACGTGGAGGTGATAAATGAAATTTCGCTGTCAGAGGTGCCTGTGGAAACCAACACCCAACACACCTGTGGACTCTGCCAGACCAGATAAACACTTAAATACATCACATCTACAATGACACATTGCTCTGCACTGCATTCCTCTAGGGAGAAGGTGCCAATAAAGATTTGTCCATTTTCTTTCACATCCAATGAAGTCACTGTCAGCCACAGACAAAAACAACGGTCTTTCAGAGGAGAGATGATAACCCCTCGCATGTTAATCCAACCTTTTTAAGAGCTTTTTCAATTTCATAAGAAACTAATGACAGCATTTCAGTCATACCCTGCAGCAATTAATGAGGCTCTTCAGCTCCTGCAATCCTGTCAGCATGTTAATAATCTTACCTGAAGGTATCAGACTTTCCCACGCCAAATGCTATTTTCTGACTCCTACTTAAAATAAGTGATGACTGAGAATCCTTTGCAGAGATGAAAATCTAAACAAATGATTAAAATTACTAATCCTCTGGAAGCCCAGAAAGTAAAAAGAATCTGGTCTCCAACAGAAGAGCCGAAAAAGAAAGTGAGAAACACCATGTCAGCAATCAAACCTAATGAGCTGACTGACTGGCTGACTGGCATCTCCATTGTGTTGTCAGTCACGTCATGAGTTAAAAGCAGTCAGCTGCAAAGGAGGCAGAATGTGTGTGTGTGTGTGTGTGTGTGTGTGTGTGTGTGTGTGTGTGGTCGCAGGGTGTTTTCGACTCCTGTTTCAAAAAAACGTGTCAGAATCGAAATTGCACCCAGCGTACGATGTTCCGAATGCATGTGCAACTGAGACAGAAAAGCAAGATGCTTTGGATGTCTACGTACGTAAGAAAGAGATGCTGTTGAGGAGTAAGCGTGTGGGCGTTTGTGTGTGGGAGTATGCCAATGCCGGCATGTGTGCAGGGCCAACTGTAGCTGACATCATCATGACCTCACTGATATCACCATGGAGATGCCCTGTATGTTCCTGCGGGAGTTGTAAGTCCGCGCAGCACACATCAAGAGTCTTCGATTACTTCAGTTCCCGAGCAACGGTGGAGTGATTAGCCAAAATAAAAAGTTGTCTGACAGGTGGGAACGTGAGACACACACCCTAAAGAACGGCATCTGTCACTCCAAGGCGGAACGCAGCATGTCGGGTGTGTGTGA